GACAGGACTGTCCTGGAATCTCCAGGAATTAAAGATTAAACTTCAATTAAAGACTTCATGTGATGAAACCTCCAGGAATATCTCCAACCAAAATTGGCAACCCTGCCTCCAGTACAGCACACAGGGTCTCTGCCTTAGAAGGTTGAACCTGTGCTGTTTCAATCCTAATGCTTAGTCCACTAAACCACAACCTGACTTAGACCTACTTGCTCCCCTCCACTAATATTGGCTTTTAGCTCATGCGGTAGAGGCTAATGCACTGAGGTCCAGAGGTCCCAGTTTCGATCCCGCCCACCGGGGTCCGTCGGCTTTACAAGTGAGGGCTCATCCGGGATATCAACTGGGAAGTCTCTGAAGGTCGGGATGCGGTTCCTCAGCTAGGAGAAGTATGTAACCCACACACCTCCTGGGTGTAGTGTTTTGTCCCATCTGGTGGCACTGAGACCACTTAGAGAGAGAGAAAAAAAGATTAATGAGTCTGCTCAACAGCCTTAGCTAACAGGTCCAGCTGACTTTTAGCTCATGCGGTAGAGGCTCATGCACTAAGCTCCAGAGGTCCCAGGTTCAATCCCACCTGCCAATGACCGGGGTCTGTCGATGTTATACTTGCTGCCTTCAGCCTGCAAGGCAGCCAGTCCTCCTCCCTCCTCAAGCTCCAGGGAGTGCTTGAAGCTGCTCTGCTCCCCAGCCCTTCTTATACAGGCCACCCTGGCTCTGACTGGCTGCTCCACGCTGCCTCTCTCTAATTGGCTGCCTCCTGCGCAACCTCCCTAGGGTTCTATTAACCCCTTATCGGCCAGTGTGGGGCAGAGGCCCCATCACAAGCTAGAAATATTATGAAGATATGGGGTTTCAGTCCCCTTGTGCCTGGCCTCATGTCCCTTGGAAATACACTGGCCCTTAAGACCTTGGTTTCCTAGCCTTCTAGTTAACGTCAGCTGTCCTCCTATGCCTATATCACACATCTCCTGGTAGCAGGATCTAGGGAATCCAGTTCTGGGCTAGCTCATAGAGTATAGGACAAACGGTACAGACTAAAGGCCTTCACCCCCTCCAGCAATCTCAGCCCAGTCCTCAGGGGCTTTGGAGTGTGTTCCTTGGATGACTTTCTGCCAGTCTGTGGTGATGCAGTTCTCAGCCTCTCTGACAGCCTTCGTTTTGCAGGACAACCTCTTATCCCAAGTGTTGTTCGTCAACCAACTGGCTGCAGCTGGGGGAGTAGCTACTCTGTCCCTTACTCCCTTAGGGTATGTCTACACTACGGAATAAGGTCGAATTTATAGAAGTCGGTTTTTTAGAAATTGGTTTTATATATTCGAGTGTGTGTGTCCCCACAGAAAATGCTCTAAGTGCATTAAGTGCATTAACTTGGCGGAGCGCTTCCACAGTACCGAGGCTAGAGTCGACTTCCGGAGCGTTGCACTGTGGGTAGCTATCCCATAGTTCCCGCAGTCTCCGCTGCCCATTGGAATTCTGGGTTGAGATCCCAATGCCTGATGGGGCTAAAACATTGTCGCGGGTGGTTCTGGGTACATATCATCAGGCCCCCGTTCCCTCCCTCCCTCCGTGAAAGCAAGGGCAGACAATCATTTCGCGCCTTTTTTCCTGAGTTACCTGTGCAGACGCCATACCACTGCAAGCATGGAACCCGCTCAGGTAACCGTCACCCTATGTCTCCTGGGTGCTGGCAGACGCGGTACGGCATTGCTACACAGTAGCAGCAACCCCTTGCCTTGTGGCAGCAGACGGTACAGTACGACTGGTAGCCGTCATCGTCATGTCCGAGGTGCTCCGGGCCACGTCGGCTGGGAGCGCCTGGGCAGACATGGGTGCAGGGACTAAATTTGGAGTGACTTGACCAGGTCATTCTCTTTAGTCCTGCAGTCAGTCCTATTGAACCGTCTTATGGTGAGCGGGCAGGCGATACGGACTGCTAGCAGTCGTACTGTACCATCTTCTGCCGAGCAGCCATGAGATGTGGATGGCATGCAGTCCTTCTGCACCGTCTGCTGCCAGCCAAAGATGTAAAAAATAGATGGAGTGGATCAAAACAAGAAATAGACCAGATTTGTTTTGTACTCATTTGCTTCCCCCCTCCCCTGTCTAGGGGACTCATTCTTCTAGATCACACTGCAGTCACTCACAGAGAAGGTGCAGCGAGGTAAATCTAGCCATGTATCAATCAGAGGCCAGGCTAACCTTCTTGTTCCAATAAGGACAATAACTTAGGTGCACCATTTCTTATTGGAACCCTCCGTGAAGTCCTGCCTGAAATACTCCTTGATGTAAAGCCACCCCCTTTGTTGATTTTAGCTCCCTGAAGCCAACCCTGTAAGTGCCGCTCCCGGCGTCAGAGCAGCGGCAAACAATCGGGCATCTGAGAGTGCTGTCCAGAGCAGTCACAATGGAGCACTCTGATGGGACTAAAACATTGTCGCGGGTGGTTCTGGGTACATATCGTCAGGCCCCTGTTCCCTCCCTCCCTCCGTGAAAGCAAGGGCAGACAATCATTTCGCGCCTTTTTTCCTGAGTTACCTGTGCAGACGCCATACCACGGCAAGCATGGAGCCCGCTCAGGTAACCATCACCCTATGTCTCCTGGGTGCTGGCAGACGCGGTACGGCTTTGCTGCACAGTAGCAGCAACCCATTGCCTTCTGGCAGCAGACGGTGCAATACGACTGGTAGTCGTCCTCGTCATGTCCGAGGTGCTCCTGGCCACGTCGGCTGGGAGCGCCTGGGCAGACATGGGCGCAGGGACTAAATTTGGAGTGACTTGACCAGGTCATTCTCTTTAGTCCTGCAGTCAGTCCTATTGAACCGTCTTATGGTGAGCGGGCAGGCGATACGGACTGCTAGCAGTTGTACTGTACCATCTTCTGCCAGGCAGGCAAGAGATGAGGATTGCTAGTAGTCGTATTGTACCATCTTCTGCCAGGCAGGCAAGAGATGAGGATGGCTAGCAGTCGTACTGTACCATCTTCTGCCGAGCAGCCATGAGATGTGGATGGCATGCAGTCCTTCTGCACCGTCTGCTGCCAGCCAAAGATGTAAAAGATAGATGGAGTGGGTCAGAACAAGAAATAGACCAGATTTGTTTTGTACTCATTTGCCTCCTCCCCTGTCTAGGGGACTCATTCCTCTAGGTCACACTGCAGTCACTCACAGAGAAGGTGCAGCGAGGTAAATCTAGCCATGTATCAATCAGAGGCCAGGCTAACCTCCTTGTTCCAATAAGAACGATAACTTAGGTGCACCATTTCTTATTGGAACCCTTCGTGCAGTCCTGCCTGAAATACTCCTTGATGTACAGGCACCCCCTTTGTTGATTTTAGCTCCCTGAAGCCAACCCTGTAAGCCGTGTCGTCAGTCGCCCCTCCCTCCGTCAGAGCAACGGCAGACAATCGTTCCGCACCTTTTTTCTGTGCGGACGCCATACCAAGGCAAGCATGGAGGCCGCTCAGCTCACTTTGGCAATTAGGAGCACATTAAACACCACACGCATTATCTAGCAGTATATGCAGCACCAGAACCTGGCAAAGCGATACCAGGTGAGGAGGCGACGTCAGCGCGGTCACGTGAGTGATCAGGACATGGACACAGATTTCTCTGAAAGCATGGGCCCTGCCAATGCATGCATCATGGTGCTAATGGGGCAGGTTCATGCTGTGGAACGCCGATTCTGGGCTCGGGAAACAAGCACAGACTGGTGGGACCGCATAGTGTTGCAGGTCTGGGACGATTCCCAGTGGCTGCGAAACTTTCACATGCGTAAGGGCACTTTCATGGAACTTTGTGACTTGCTTTCCCCTACCCTGAAGCGCATGAATACCAAGATGAGAGCAGCCCTCACAGTTGAGAAGCGAGTGGCGATAGCCCTGTGGAAGCTTGCAACGCCAGACAGCTACCGGTCAGTTGGGAATCAATTTGGAGTGGGCAAATCTACTGTGGGGGCTGCTGTGATGCAAGTAGCCCACGCAATCGAAGATCTGCTGATATCAAGGGTAGTGACCCTGGGAAATGTGCAGGTCATAGTGGATGGCTTTGCTGCAATGGGATTCCCTAACTGTGGTGGGGCTATAGACGGAACCCATATCCCTATCTTGGCACCGGAGCACCAAGCCGCCGAGTACATAAACCGCAAGGGGTACTTTTCGATAGTGCTGCAAGCTCTGGTGGATCACAAGGGACATTTCACCAACATCAACGTGGGATGGCCGGGAAAGGTGCATGATGCTCGCATCTTCAGGAACTCTGGTCTGTTTCAAAAGCTGCAGGAAGGGACTTTATTCCCAGACCAGAAAATAACTGTTGGGGATTTTGAAATGCCTATATGTATCCTTGGGGACCCAGCCTACCCCTTAATGCCATGGCTCATGAAGCCGTACACAGGCAGCCTGGACAGTAGTCAGGAGCTGTTCAACTACAGGCTGAGCAAGTGCAGAATGGTGGTAGAATGTGCATTTGGACGTTTAAAGGCGCGCTGGCGCAGTTTACTGACTCGCTTAGACCTCAGCGAAACCAATATTCCCACTGTTATTACTGCTTGCTGTGTGCTCCACAATATCTGTGAGAGTAAGGGGGAGACGTTTATGGCGGGGTGGGAGGTTGAGGCAAATCGCCTGGCTGCTGGTTACGCGCAGCCAGACACCAGGGCGGTTAGAAAAGCACAGGAGGGTGCGGTACACATCAGAGAAGCTTTGAAAACCAGTTTCATGACTGGCCAGGCTACGGTGTGAAAGTTCTGTTTGTTTCTCCTTGATGAAACCCCCCGCCCCTTGGTTCACTCTACTTCCCTGTAAGCTAACCACCCACCCCTCCTCCCTTCAATCACCGCTTGCAGAGGCAATAAAGTCATTGTTGCTTCACATTCATGCATTCTTTATTCATTCATCACACAAATAGGGGGATGACTACCAAGGTAGCCCAGGAGGGGTGGTGGAGGAGGGAAGGAAAATGCCACACAGCACTTTAAGCACAGCACTTTAAAAGTTTACAACTTTAAAATTTATTGAATGACAGCCTTCTTTTTTTTGGGCAATCCTCTGTGGTGGAATGGCTGGTTGGCCGGAGGCCCCCCCACCGCGTTCTTGGGCGTCTGGGTGTGGAGGCTATGGAACTTGGGGAGGAGGGCGGTTGGTTACAGAGGGGCAGCAGTGGCAGTCTGTGCTCCAGCTGCCTTTGCTGCAGCTCAACCATACACTGGAGCATACTGGTTTGGTCCTGCAGCAGCCTCAGCATTGAATCCTGCCTCCTCTCATCACGCTGCCGCCACATTTGAGCTTCAGCCCTGTCTTCAGCCCACCACTTACTCTCTTCAGCCCGCCACCTCTCCTCCCGGTCATTTTGTGCTTTCCTGCACTCTGACATTATTTGCCTCCACGCATTCGTCTGTGCTCTGTCAGTGTGGGAGGACAGCATGAGCTCGGAGAACATTTCATCGCGAGTGCGTTTTTTTTTCTTTCTAAGCTTCACTAGCCTCTGGGAAGGAGAAGATCCTGTGATCATTGAAACACATGCAGCTGGTGGAGAAAAAAAAAAGGGACAGCGGTATTTAAAAAGACACATTTTATAAAACAGTGGCTACACTCTTTCAGGGTAAACCTTGCTGTTAACATTACATACATAGCACATGTGCTTTCGTTACAAGGTCGCATTTTGCCTCCTCCCACCACGTGACTACCCCCTCAACCTTCCCCCCTCCCTGTGGCTAACAGCGGGGAACATTTCTGTTTAGCCACAGGCAAACAGCCCAGCAGGAATGGGCTCCTCTGAGTGTCCCCTGAAGAAAAGCACTCTATTTCAACCAGGTGACCATGAATTATATCTCACTCTCCTGAGGATAACACAGAGAGATAAAGAACGGATGTTGTTTGAATGCCAGCAAACATACACTGCAATGCTGTGTTCTACAATGTTTCCCGAGTACGTGTTACTGGCCTGGAGTGGTAAAGTGTCCTACCATGAAGGACGCAATAAGGCTGCCCTCCCCAGAAACCTTTTGCAAAGGCTTTAGGACTACATCTAGGAGAACCGCAAATGCCAGGGCAAAGTAATCCTTTCACATGCTTGCTTTTAAACCATGTATAGTATTTTAAAAGGTACACTCACCAGAGGTCCCTTCTCCGCCTGCTGGGTCCAGGAGGCAGCCTTGGGTGGGTTCGGGGGGTACTGGCTCCAGGTCTAGGGTGAGAAACAGTTCCTGGCTGTCGGGAAAACCGGTTTCTCCGCTTGCTTGCTGTGAGCTATCTACAACCTCCTCCTCATCATCATCTTCTTCGTCCCCAAAACCTGCTTCCGTATTGCCTCCATCTCCATTGAAGGAGTCAAACAACGCGGCTGGGGTAGTGGTGGCTGAACCCCCTAAAATGGCATGCAGCTCATCATAGAAGCGGCATGTTTGGGGCTCTGACCCAGAGCGGCTGTTCACCTCTCTGGTTTTCTGGTAGGCTTGCCTCAGCTCCTTCAGTTTCACGCGGCACTGCTTCGGGTCCCTGTTATGGCCTCTGTCCTTCATGCCCTGGGAGATTTTCACAAAGGTTTTGGCATTTCGAAAACTGGAACGGAGTTCTGATAGCACGGATTCCTCTCCCCAAACAGCGATCAGATCCCGTACCTCCCGTTCGGTCCATGCTGGAGCTCTTTTGCGATTCTGGGACTCCATCATGGTCACCTGTGCTGATGAGCTCTGCATGGTCACCTGCAGCTTGCCATGCTGGCCAAACAGGAAATGAGATTCAAAAGTTCGCGGTTCTTTTCCTGTCTACCTGGCCAGTGCATCTGAGTTGAGAGTGCTGTCCAGAGCGGTCATAATGGAGCACTCTGGGATAGCTCCCGGAGGCCAATACCATCGAATTGTGTCCACAGTACCCCAAATTCGAGCCGGCAACGTCGATTTAAGCACTAATCCACTTGTCAGGGGTGGAGTAAGGAAATCGATTTTAAGAGCCCTTTAAGTCGAAATAAAGGGCTTCATTGTGTGGACGGGTGCAGGTTTACATCGATTTAACGCTGCTAAATTCGACCTAAAGTCCTAGTGTAGACCAGGGCTCAGTGGCTGAATGGAGTTTACTCACCCCATCACAGAAATGAATGATCTTTATTGTTAATGAAATAGAGACTATAAGGGTCTGGATGAAGAGACGGGAGCACTTTGGATGAAGAGAATTGATACTACCACTTATCACCTACATTTTAAGTAAATTTAACATTGTATTTTATAACACAATATGTGAAATCCTGGTCCACATCTTCATTTCCTCTTGCTCCACTGTATCACTTTCTGTTTTTTGAAGACTTCATTAAATAGGATCTTTGGAACTATGACTAATGGGACTTGTAAAGAGGCTTATTGGGATCAGAGCCGTATTCTTTGGGGAAAGAGAAAGCATGATGGTTTTTTGGGCTTCTAACAGGGAAGTCCTTTCTTCAAGCTCCTTCACCACCACCTTGCAGATCCTGATCCATGGCTTCATCAAGAAGCTTTTCGCAAAGTTTTGCTGGGATTTTGTCTTTCTAGAGAAGACCATAGCAGAATCAGGAGAGATAATCTTGGTGACCAGTGTCTCTCCCCTCCAGAAAACGGGCCCAATTTTCTGCCACAGAGAGCATCTGAGAAAAATTGCTACTTCACAGGATAAGCCATTTTTTTTTGTAATCATAGACGTAACTTGCTTCTATGTGCAGAGATCCCCGGGTCTCAAAGCAGAGCTTGCATAGCTGATAAAAGCATGATATTGTCTTGGAGAGGGCAAAGTAATCACCAGGTTTCTTGCAAGGCTCCCATATAATTTAATGGTTTTCCTTGTAAAATGGAAAGCAGATGGAGTGAGGGTTTCTTCTAAGACTTGAACAACCTTTTCCTGGGGGTTGATTGGTGGAGTCTCCTTAAGTCACATCCAGAACTTTGACTTCCTTGTAGAAGCCGTGCCTAAATTTCTCAAAACTGTAAAAAAATAACCTGGTTTTGTCTTGCCTCAGGGGAGTGCATCCTTCCCAGGCATTCAGCCTCTTCCTCAGAGCTCATGAGGGCTCTGGGATGGTAAATAAATGTCCCTTGCTGATTTGGAGTAAGGAGAGGGGGAAATGAGGGATTGCAAGACCTCAGCATCTCCTCCTATGAAGTGGACTCCACCCTGTTCAAGGAATCATGACAGTAATGGGAAGGAAGTAGGGGAGGCACTGAGACCTAAAGGACACACTGAGGAAAACAGTGGCTGCTCAATTGTGAGGTCCTCTGGTACTGGAACTTGTGAGTGGGCAGAAAAGAGAGCTAACTCCCACTGGTCCTCAGGAAGTAGAGTTAAGGAGGGTAAGAAGAGTTAGGTGAAACAGAGACATGGGGACACCCAGCACCTCCCATGGCCCACTTAGGGGGGATGGGGGCAATCCATGAATGGGTACATCCTTAGAGGTGTCCCATGACCCTTCAAGAGAGGATGATGGTCCCAAGCAGCAGGGTGGAGAGAAAGTTGCTGTGACAGATACCAGGCATAATCAACTGGCATTACAACACCTAGGCCTGGTCTACATGAGGGGGGGAGAAGGGGGGAGAAGGGGGAGGGGAATTGATCTAAGTTACGCTACTTCAGCTACGTGAATAATGTAGGTGAAGTCGATGTACTTAGATCTACTTACCATGGTGTCTTCACTGTGGTAAGTTGATGGCTGACACTCCCCTGTTGACTCCGCCTACACTTCTCACTCCGGTGGAGTATTGGAGTCGATGAGATAGTGCTTGATTTATCGCATCTAGACTAGACGAGATAAATCGATCCCCGCTGAATTGATCTCTGCCCATCGATCCAGCGCATAATGCAGACATGCCCCTACCACCCGCTGCAAAGGTGCTACTAGAGCCAGTGAGAAATACAGGGTGATAAACACTTTTGAACTTTAGGCCATTTATTCAGGTGCTTAAATATGAACTTAGGACTTTAACTTTAGGCTTCCATTTCTGAGTATCTTGACCTAAGCATAGACTTGTGGCTAAAGGACAACCCGAGGAGTTAGAAGAACTACTAAAGACTTCCTCTAACTTTGGGCAAGTAATTTAACTACCATGTGCCTCCATTTTCCTACATGTAATATAGGGATACTACAGTACTACTTGCCCTACCTCACAAGAGAATTCTTCATTATACATTTATAAAGTGTTTTGAGATCCTTAGAAGGCATTATAAAAATATTATTTCACTAAAGAAATAAATTAGACCCTTATAGAATTTAAGTATATTTTAGATTTTTTTGATGTTATCTTGCCATACATTACAGTACAATATTTTCCTTGTTTTTCCTTTGCTGTTTAATTATGTGACATTTTCATTCATTCTAATACACAGTATTTTTCAGAGTATTTAAAGTTATATTAGGCTGGTAACAAATGTGTCCATGTGCTACACTTCCTGCATGGTAACTTTATTATCTTTTCAAAGCTAAACAGTAAAAATACAGAAACTGTGATCTTTTACACTATCCTTTAATAAACAGTTATTTTAAAAATGCTATAAAATTGTTTCTTTTCCCCCCCAAACTACAACTTAATGCAACTAACTCTTGTATATCCAAAACAGTAAAGTCTGTATAAGTAGTTTTAAAAGTCCCTATGGGCTTGTAATATAGCAAGAGTGAAAAATTCTAACCACCAGAGACAGAAATGGGAAAGATTCCTGAGTTTCAAGTTACATAACATGCCTGTTCTTTTGTCATTTTCATGAGGCATGGCTTTGCAAAGTTCTCTTTCTTCTCTGTAACATATTGTAAACATCTATTTCTGTTCATTAATATTTACATATTTAGGCAGAACTTTCAAAAAGTGCTCAGTGTCGGTCTAACTCTGCTTCCAATGAAGTTACTGGCATGATTGTGTGTGCATAGCCTACGCTCAGTGGCCCCGTGATTCCCTCCACATTGGTTCACAAAGTGGAACCAGCATACAAGAGGCAGTATGTTGCATCCTATAATAGTGTGCAGCAATGGGCTCCAGCACCAGAGGACTTTGCATAAAGGGGTGCTCTGGGAGGCGATGCCTTTTAAGTGATGCAGCTCAGTATTGACTTCGAATGTAGGGCTGTGTACTAGCAAGTGCAACTGAGAGCTCTCTGTTTTTGTACAAGTATCAAGGCACCTTACAATAATTCAAAAGAATTAAAACGGACCCAATTTTGGAACAAAGCCAAAGTGTTCCAAATTTAAATGCTGGCAAGAAATAGTGGTCAGTCAATGGTCAGAGCCTGGTCTGTTCATCATCTCAGTCATTTGTCCTGATCGTCTCAGCTGGAAGCAATGCACTTCATTTGAGAGAAAACAGGGTGGATAAAAATCAATGTTTTTTTTTTTTTTAAATCAGTTTTTTATTATTTAAATTAAATACAGGTTGTTGTTGTTTTTTTTAAAAGGAAATATATTTAAAATTAAGTTTGAAAGTGACAAGCTATGTTAAGGCCTAAATTTATCATAATCTGTAAAATAATTTAAAAGAAAGAAAAAAAGAAAGAAAGAAAGAAAGCTGTACATTTGTTGCCAATTTTTAAAGAAAGGCAAACCACTTAACTGGTGGAAGTCACTGACAGTACCTGGAACCAGCTTTTGACAGCAGTAGCCTTCTCTGCAGGTGCAGAATGAATATTTTCTTCATTTCAGTTTATTCAGCTAGTTCAGTTCAATGACTAGTTCATTCAAAAAGTTAAGAAACCAATATGGAGTTGAAAAAGCAGGAAAGCTTGTTTTCCTTTTCAGGTCTATAAATAAAACCTAGGTGTGAGGGTGAGATCATCATGACCAGAAAGCATCAGTTCAATTCACTAATTACATATTCTTCCAGTGGTTAATAAACCTATTTTAAATACAAAATATGTTTTGAGTAACATTTTGATAAACTTTTTTCCTTGTGTATGCACGTCTTTCACAATAGTTTTATTTAATACAATTTAAAATGTTATTTCTGCACATTTTTAGTTTAGAACTTGACACAAAATCACAAGTAAAAAACTAAATCTAATAAATAAGAAATACATTATTCACCACTTTAACATAATAAATGTAAAAATTATTAATCTGGATAACTGTAAATTAAGCTATATAATTACCTAAATAACGGTGTATAAATATACTGTATCCATCTGGTTAGGAAAAAAAGTAACATTAAATGTAGTGTAAAGTCTATATTTACTTGCAAATCAACATGTTTTAATGGTTACCAACTAATGAGAAAGAAATTACTTTCCTCGTACAGTAAGCGGAGTTCTTTGAGATGGGTCTGTACTCCCAACTGTGGGTATGCATGAGCTCCATGAGCCTGAGACTGGAAGAGTTTTGCTAGCAGTGTTTGTTGGTTCACATTGGCACCTTTCCCCTCCTTGCACTCCAAACCACAGGCATAAGGGACAGTGCAGACCGACTGCCTCTCCAGTTCCTTCTCTACCACAAAGGATGTGCAAAAAGATCGAAAGCAGACGGAAAAGAAGGTGGGTAGTGGAATGCAGATCGAGACCACACATTTTGAAGAACTCTATTTACTGTACAGAGTAAGTAACTTCTCTTTCTTCTTCGCGAGATGGTCCCAATGTATATTCCATTGTGGGTGACTGACAAGCAGCATTAAGTGAGGAGGAGGGTGTGAGGACCTTTGTGGTACCATTGACTGGAGGACTGCTGTACCGAAAGATGCATCAGCTGCAGAAGGTGGCACCGGGGCATAATGTCTCATGAAAGTATGGACAGAGCCCTATGTTGCTGCCTTACAGATTTCAATGAGAGAAACATCACAAAGTGAGGCTACCAAAGAGGCCTTGGCCCTACTCAAGTGGGCTCTCATGCTTTATGGAGGAGGTGTCTATTAACTCTTAACATAGCCTGAAATTCATTTTGAAAATCTTTAGGAAGAGATTTCTTTCCCCTCTCATCTATTCCCCAAAGGATATAGTGTCTAGGCAATTTCTTAAAATATTTTATTCTTTGTAGGTAGAATGCCAAAGCCCAAGAGACATGCAGAGAATGAAATCTCCTGTCCTCAACTAGTGATGTGAAGTTTTGGGAAGCAGATAGGTA